CAGGGAAAGGGACACGTGGGAGCTCCGTAGCTATTAGCAGGCCTGACGTGTGCTTACCATTCTGACGGGAGCAGGTCAACCCCCCCCCCCCCCCCCCCCCCCCAAACCAATCACGTGATCTCCTACGTCAGCCCTTGATTTTCCAGGCATAACAATATATATGGTTGATATAGCTGAAAACCTCAATCAAATGGTTGATGCAGAAGATGTAGCTGACGATAATGATGATGAAGACTATGATATATGAATCCTCATTCCCTGAAAGCCTCAGTCAAATGGTTGAAGTAGAAGATGTAGATGATGATAACGACGATATATAATTTGATTTTCTCTCCTCAATCATTTGTATTTTCCTTGAATGTACATTGTCAAGTTTTTATTTTAGTGTGATAAGATATGTTTCTAGCAGCACACGGCTCAAAGCATTTTGATCGGAAAGGACCATTTCATGGTGACAGTGAACCCGAACATTGATTATGCATTTATCATTTCCCTTATCGTGATTCTTGATGCAATTAACTCTGTAGCAGCTGGTGCAGCCAGTGCAGCCAGTGCAGCTGCTGCAGCTGCAGCTAGTGCTGGTGGCGGTTGTTGATCCCGCTCAATTGTATTTTTCTTTTTATGTAGTTGAGCCATTATCTTAGTGTGGTAAAATACATTGTTTATCTTTGTTAATTTTAGTTTATAATATTAATATTAGACCTGTATTTAATCAGAAAATTTTCACAAATATTAATACTGGACCTTCATTTATTTTCTAGCTCCATACGTGTTCTTTTATTAATTATTTTTCTTTTATAAATATCTTTTAATTTTCAATGTATTATACGAATTTGAATAAAAAAAATTGAAAGTTTTCTCACTAAATATGAGATTTTCGTGAGTGCCTTCGGCCGTCGTTGACCATCTTGGCCGTCGTTGATTGTCAACGACAACCATATCTTGGCCGTCGTTGACGACCAAATGCGGCCAGATCTAGCTGTAGATCTGACATTTTTCGATTAAATCCATCGTAGATTTGGCTAGAAAAGACTATATCAACGCATGACATGCAAGATTCAACCGGTCATGCGTCGATACGGTGACTCCGACCACCCTCCGACGGTGGTGGCCGACTGTCCGTATTTAATGAGTGGATTGGAGGTGTTTTTGTTAACTTTTAATATCTTATTATAAAGGTGTTTAGTAAATAAACAAACATAGATAGTATTTTTGTTAATTTCTAAATCTTACATTGTAATAGTCACTCAATTTAATTTTTTTCAAAATATTATTATAAAAAGTATCAGAATAATGAACCAAACGAATCCTAATATTTTGCAGTAACAGTCCACCAACCACCAGAGGAGTTACACAAAATTTACCTAATTAATTAAATATTTTCTGTGTTATTTTAATCTATTTTGTTTTTAAATTTGAGTTGCCTTCCTCTTTGTTTTTTAATATCTAATAATGATGAGAAATAATATTCTCTGCAGATTGCAACAAGTGAACACGCACAAGACTTTGTCAACTTCCCCAACAACACGGTTTGAATTGTCGTCAAAATCTGATAATCCAAACACTCTAGAAAAATAAGCCACTGAATGTCATTGTATAAGACGAAGCAATATATGAATGAAATTCATAGAACAAGACCTTTTTGTTTCTGTCAAACCTCATTCAATAAGGTTTCTTCAATACTGCTCTGCCCATCATTTTCTCCATCAACCGCGTTACACGCTAACCAGTAAGCATGAAGATCATAAATATAGTTGAATTCCCATCCCAAATGAAGTTACATAGCTTTTCATTTCTAGCCCTTTAAACTCAAAAGATTTGCCTCTTTCGTTATAAATGAGGGAGCATCAACTCCATACTTTTGCAGCTGTGCATCCCAAATTCACCATTTTTAATGAGTTGGGGTAGCTTCAAGTTGCGGCAATAAGAGAAGGTGTGTGTAGAGCAAGATGGAGAAGCAGGGGACGTGCATTACTAACTCACATTTTTGGCTGCGAGTTTTAAATACCTTCAATTACTCAAAAGTTCTGTGTTATCTCCAGTGAGTTAGTTTTTCATGTGCCCATCTTCCCCATCATGACCACTGCACCTTATAATTATAAACAGTACTCAACTAAACTACTGCGAAGATTTTCACGGCAAAAATCATCATCAAACCAATCAAAGAAAGGGAAGTAAAGCTCCATTTCAGGTGAGTTATGATCAAAATCTTGTTTGAAATATTTATTTGATGACATTTTTTTTCCCTGAACAAAACCGTTCTGGTGTAAAGTTCTGGTCTCGTATATCTGAAGATTTATGTTATGAATAGTTTTTTAGAAAGATGTAGGGATCGATAAGGCTAAGGAAAGATGAGCAGGCACTGATTTTGAGATATGATTAGAGTGAAATTTCAGCAATGTGGGGTTGGATAAACATTGACCGAATTATCATACTATTGTCATAATCAGAAGAAATATGAGACCATTCAAGGTTTTGGAGTCAGAATCTGGGGCGCCGTGAAGTTTGGTTAAACTCCAAATTGAGGGTTTTTAATTTGCTGATTCCTTTTTCCTCAAGATAACACACAGACTGACAAGAACAAATCAAAACGCGAAATTTGAACGAATGCAAATTTTTATGCAGCAAAAACAAGGTAACTATAATCTGGTAATGCATAAAAAATTGCTTTGTGGATTTAAGTGGTATATATGTAGATATATCATAACAAATTCCTTGACAAAATGTACTCTATGTGATTAATAGCTTAATCAAGGAACTCATTTTAGCTAAAAAATTGTTCTTCCTGCGACTTTGAGTGATGATTTTCTTCTGTTTTCTTAATTTCCTTGCTTTTTTTTTTTTTATATTAAGACAACTCTGTGAGTGGTACTACAGAAGTAAAGAAAGAGTACCTGAGAAAAGAAATTCAAAGAAATTTCATCCAAACCACCATGCAGTGCAACTTTTGAATAGAATTATCAGTTATATCTAAAGTGGCAAGAGTACAATTTCTTCTTCAATATTCTTTTTAGCCCTCTAGGATGATTAGTTGTTTTAAAGATAAGAAAAAGAAAAGCAGCAGTCGAACATCAAAGAAAGATTTAAGGAGAAATTAAAGGGGGTTTTTTCATCTAGCTTCCTTTCTTTTCTTCTCTTTTCTCTTTCTTTTTCAGCCATTGATATGATCAAGTAATCAAGCACTATTGGAGATAAATCTAGCTAACTAACTCATCATATTTATGATAAAAGAGATTACTTTTGGTCTTTCTTGAACAGGCAAAGTCGGTAGCACCACCTGGGGACAATACAAGAGAACCACCACATGCCTATTCTATCTCTTCCTTCTCTTCCTTCAAATCCACGTTGGATTGACAATGAAAAGCCATACACAGCACAGAAACTCTTTTCTTTGATTCCAAGAATGTATGATTTTCTCATTTACCCAGATAGCGGACTTTTTCCCGGTTGCAGTTTTGGAAGGTAGTACAGAAAAGGATGGTCATTCTTTTGTAAATCTGATACCCAATCTGTTCTTCATTATTATCATTATTTTGTTAGGTAACAGCACCGCATTTAATTTCTATTTAACTTTTGAATGATTTTTTAACTGTTAAGTGTTAACCAGAGAGTTAATTGCATGCAGTCAGTATAAGATAAGGTTATATCAAAAATTGACAATTGCGACAATTTACTTCTATTCCTGGGCTTGTCATGTATTCAGATGACCCACTTCTTTAATTGTTCTTGTTTCATGTTAAATATATATATATATTTTTTTCTTTTTTCTTTTTTTTTTTTGTGACATGGGGGCAGGGTTGTTCGGGCCAACTTTTTTGTATTTTAACAAATCTTTTAGGGTCTTGAAGTTGATAGACAGATAAATTTTCTCAATAACCACTTTTATTAGCAATCCAAATAGATCGAACTCAAGACATCTTGACTAACGGTTCAGTTAAATGTTGTAGTTGGCAAATAATTTACAGTATTTGCAGAACTTGTAAAAAAAAAGCCTTTGAAGTATAAAGGTTTGCCAAATGAAATAATGACACGAGTGAGAGCAGCTTCACAAATTTTTGCATGCCTGTGGACTGTAGTTTTGTTTTGAGATTGATACGTTTTCTTCTTGCCACCAAAGAGCACTTTTCTGACCGACAAAAGTAAAGGTGCTCCTAAATAAATTTTCTTACTTTTAACTTTTCCTTTAGAAAATGATTGAGGCATCCTAAATAAATTATAACTTTTGTCCCATGTAAGGTGAAAGTATGCCCGAATCATTAAAGTAGTACTCTTTTCCTTCGTATCTGTCATTAGAACCACAGACTTAAAAGTTTGGATAACGTTACACAACTCTCAAATATCTTTTACTATGAGTCTTTGTACAATCTCTCTAAAGAAAATGACATAACAACAGGAACGAAACAAATGAAGTCAAATTAGAAAAGCCAATGGGCTGCAGGTGAATATTTTCAATACAAGGGAACTTGAGACCAGTTGCAAAAAAACTGATAGTACTGCCCTGAAAATTTTGAAGTGCTGAAGCTACGAATTGAATCTTCTGGCGTAGGTTTTCTCATTTATCGAATCACTTGTAAATTTAATTCATCATATAGAGTAAACTAGTTACACCGCAAGCTTACAAACAAACATGTCATCAGATTATTGTACACCATGATGTCGGTACCGGGGGAGAGGGAATCAGCTTGATCACCTTTACAAGCAAATGCTATGTAGCTAGAAATGGCATGCTTGATACAGAGGCTGAAATCAGAAGGAAATGAATCTTCAGTATTTCCACAGAGTGTAATTCAAGCAAAAGACCTTTTAGTGCTTAATCAACGAGGATGTCCTTTTACTTCAACTCAAAGGGACTCCAAAGAGACACTTGCACATGGAAGCAGTGATAAGCCAACCAACTAGATCTTTAGCTATTTATTAGTTAGTTTTACGGGGAAAAGAGAAAGGCATATACATTAATAACAACAGAGATCGCACACCACCGACAGTAACTCAGTTACTGATCAAATATCATACTTCAAGTTATCCACCAAACCAGTCAGAGAGGTATTTGAAAAATCAAGTTTGGACCCGGAGCTAAGAAGAAGAGCTTTCCAAACTCTAGCCCCTGGAGATACATTCTTCTCACCCATTTTTTTAAGCAATTCAAGGGCTCTACAAACAAAACCTCTATGGCACAACCCACAAATTGCCTTATCAAACATCAAACTTGGCGGGCAAAAATCTTTATCCAATACTTCCTCCAACAAATAGCAAGCTTCAATAACTTCACCTTTACTGACCAAACCATTAATCATAATAGTATACGTCTGCAAATTCATTGCAATGCCTTTCAATCCCATCTCCCTCATAAGCTCCTTTGACCTCCCCAGCTCCCCCACCTTACACAACTCCCTCAGTAACGTATAATAAGTAATCACATTAGGCTTGCATCCCAACTCCTCCATACAAGCAATCATCTTGATTCCGGCTTCAACATTATTTTTCTTACATAAACAATTTATATACACATTGTAGGTATGAACATTAGGAACCAAACCCAATACAAGCAATTCATCAAACAGCTTCTCTGCTTTCACATAATCTTCATCTGCAACAACCCCACTCATAACCATACCATAACAAATAATATCAGGTTTAATACCATCTAATTTCATCTTATTCAAAACATTCAAAGCCTCCAAACCCTTTTCTTTCTTCACCAAACACCTAATCACATTAGTATAATCAACCATACCAGGACAAAACCCTAACTTTCTAATTCCTTCAAGAAAGCCTAAAACCTGAACACTTGACAAATCTTTTTCTTCACAAACTGATGCCAATACTAAAGAGAAAGTTCTTGAATCAACACTAAATCCATCATTTATCATTCCATTTAACATCTCAATAGCATAACCAACTCTATTTATTCTACAAAGAGCACGTATCAATAACCGAAAACATGATTCTTCTATTCTAATATTCATAAGTTGACTCTTTAACAAGATTTGAGGGACCATTTTAATACGTTCTTTATTTCTACAAAGAACAGAAAGCAGAGTATTGAGTGAGTACACAGAAGGGACACACCTGAACTTGGAAATCCTATAAAACAGATTAATAGAATCATGAATTTTATTAGCATCTGCATAAAGTTTAATAAGATCAGCAAGAATATACTCAGGTGTTTCGAATTTTTCATTCCGTTCAAGGTAGTCAAGAACAGAGAGAAGTTGACAAAATTGTGAGGTTTCTGCTAGGGTTTTGATGATAAAGTGGTAGGCTTCCGGGGTTGGTTCACAATTATAGATGTCAAAGGAGTGTATAAGAGAAGAGAGGATATATGGTTGGTTTGATTTTTGTTGTTGTTGTTGTATTGCCGGTGGCATTGTTAAAGATTGCTTAAGATTTTGCATGGCTTGTTGTTGGTTGAAAGTTTGGTGCCATTTGGCTTTGTAGGGTGACAATGGCCATTTTCTGTGCTTTCTAAGGTAAGGATTGGCGCGCTTTAGGGGAGAGGACCTGACCATTTTGAGTTTCAGGACTATGTGAACAGATCTGAAACGAAGATAAGGGTTTTGGAATGATATTTAAAGGCTTCTACAATGGGTAAGTAAGTTTTTTATAAAAGGAGGTTACGAAGTACCGCGAAGCCAAGACAAAAATGATAAAGGCACACGAACCCGTCTCAAAAGCACGCAAACTCGAAAATAGAAACACAAAGCAGACACAACCTCCCAAATAGAGACACAACAAGGGATACAAACGCCCAAAGAGAGCACGTTGGCTATACGATAAAGAAAAACGAATAAAAACCTAGGATGATTGTCCTTTCTTCTTATTAGAGCTGATGGTGGGCTGCATCGTGCTATGTTGGGCGTAAAAATTCAAGGTCTGTCGTGTTGTGGGCTATATCATACCAAAACTCAAACAAATTCATGTCTTGTCGTGTCGATCTATTCAACAAATTCAACAAGTAAACACGCACAAGACTTTGTCATCTTCCCCAACAACACGGTTTGAATTGTCGTCAAAATCTGATAATCCAAACTCTCTAGAAAAAAGCCACTGAATGTCATTGTATAAGACGAAGCAATTTATGAATGAAATTTATAGAACAAGACCCTTTTGTTTCTGTCAAACCTCATTCAATAAGGTTTCTTCAATACTACTCTGCGCATCATTTTCTCCATCAACCGCGTTACACGCTAACCATTAAGCATGAAGATCATAAATATAGTTGATTTCCCATCTCAAATGAAGTTACATAGATTGCTTCTCCATACCCATCATCTCATTTGTTTATTTTCTGTCAACTTCTATATGAATATAATAACCGCGTCTGACACGCCCTGAATCACTATATTTAAGAAGCATCACAGCAGGATTTCTCATCAAAAATCAAAGCGATTCATTCTGCAAACTCACTCCAATGGCGCATTTTACTGGCACTACCAATCCACCAACTGATATTTATCCTCCTCCTCCTCCACCACCACCACAAGCAGTAGTTGCTAATAGCGTTTCAATTATAGGCCCTCAATTTTGTGGCCATACTTACCCCATTGATCTTGCAATTGTGAGAAAGGTTTTGACCATAACTGATGGAAATTTTGTTGTGCAAGACATCAATGGCAACGTCCTTTTTAAAGTGAAAGGTACCTTATTAACCGTTCATGATCGCCGCGTTCTACTTGACTCAACTGGAAATCCCATTGTCACTCTGCGGCGAAAGGTCTCGTGATTGATTTTTTTATTTTTTTATTTTTGCAAAGAGAACATTCTATCTGCAAGTATATCTCACTAATTAATTTATTTTCTTTGTTGTAGATAATGACAGCTCATGATAGATGGCAAGTTTTCAGGGGAGAAAGTACAGAGCTAAGTGATCTAATCTTTACTGCTAAACGATCTTCAATGTTTCAATTAAAGACCAAGTTAGATGTGTTCTTAGCAAACAATACAAAGGAGGATGTTTGTGATTTCAAGATCAAAGGAAGTTGGCTTGAGCGATCTTGTGTTATTTATGCTGGAGAGTCCTCCACAGTTGTTGCCCAGGTAAGAACATTAATAAAACCATATGGTATTATTAATCAGATAATAGATGATAATATACAAGTAATTAGTCACTAATTGAATTAATTCTTTGATTTGAAGATGCACAAGAAGCACACTGCTGAAAGCATATTGCTTGGAAAGGACAAGTTCATGGTGACAGTATATCCTAACATCGATTACGCATTCATAGTCTCTCTTATTGTGATTCTTGATGCAATCAACACCGAATCCGGTGGTGGATCTGGGGGTGGCTCTGACATCCTTTCTGGCGTTGAATTCTGATTTTCCTCTATTCTTTTATTTGAAGTCAAATATGTACTTGAGACTTGCCATTGCTTGGCTTTCTGGGGCTTGATTGGTCGCTTCTGAAGTTTTCCAGGTCTACTTGTGATCTTTTTTATGGAGTTTTGTTTATAGCATTCAACTGTTAATGTCTAATAATTATGAAATTTCATTATTATACTTAGAATCAGTCACAATCCCTCAGGAACTACTAAAAAATTTCCAATATGCCAAGCTTGTGAGAGGCTAGAAATTGTCTACTTGTCCAAGTCCTATGCGATTTAAGGATGTCTCTCGTGCAGATAACCAATGAGAAGTGGGTTAGGAATTGTACTACACTTGTCCGACTGCAAAGTCATGATTACTACCTTGAATCCCCCAATTATAAATAGAGGGCTCCTCTCTCATTTACGAGATTAGCTCATCTTTAGTCTAAAAAAGCATATTCTCTCTCTCTCTCTCTCTCTCTCTCTCTCTCTCTCTATTTATATTCTCTCTAGATTGTAATTTAACTCGATGTACGTGACCTGACTGTAACCACCTATTAAGGATGTAGGATTTACTTTTAAGCATCCGAACAACTTTAAAAACCGCTCCTTATTTATTCTCTCATTGCATATTTTCATATCACATGTAATTTCTAAGTCTGCTTAGCACTTTATACGTAAAAATCGTTGGTGTCAAAATCAAGCATCAACATGTATGTGGTCTAACACAAAGCAATTTATGAATGACATTTACAGAACAGGACCTTTGTTTCATTAATTGTTGAAGTTGTGGAAATGATAAACCAATAGAATTTGCTTTTGGTAAGCGCCAACGGTACTGTTCATAATTCTCTTTCTCGTCCTTTCGGCTTCACTTCGAATTATAAATCTTGGAATGTGCATATCCTCCCCATTTTCTCATGCCTCCCAACTTGACTGGATTCAATTCGGAAGGTTTCTTCATGCTGCTGCACATCATTTTCTCTATCAACCTGCGTTATGCTAATTTATTTTCGTAATTTGTAAGGATAAATAATTCATTATAGAGATATATTGCCTTATATTTTCTCTATCAACCTACGCCTTAATGCGTTTTCATGGCTCGTTATTGTTGGAGTGATTGACAACTCCGACAAGAATTATCCTATCGTTCTTGCAATAGAGAGAAACGTTATGAGTCTTATGACCATGGCTTATGGTAGTTAAATTTGTTATGCAAGACAACAGTGAGAGCATCCTTGATAACTTCAAATTAGACCAACATCAACTAACATAAAAATGCCCAAGATAAAGCTAGCTAGAGACTAAGCATATTTCAAAGTCATGTCATATCAACCAGGCTAAAAGGCGCCGGCTAAAGGGACTTACACTTTATAATTTTATCACGTGGTTTATATCTAATTTTATAATCTAAACAACTAAATTAATGCATGACATATCAGACTTCCATTGCTGGAGCAATCCTACAACTTGCATATCTTCAGACCTCGCCTGCAACTTGTTTGATTTAAATCCTTTTGCTCATTCAAATTCAGAGAAAAGCTTGTGGGAGAAATACAGTTAGAAGTTTCCGATTAGTACTTAAGTGACTTCCCAAAAAGAAGTTGCAAATNCCTCCCAACTTGACTGGATTCAATTCGGAAGGTTTCTTTCATGCTGCTGCACATCATTTTCTCTATCAACCTGCGTTATGCTAATTTATTTTCGTAATTTGTAAGGATAAATAATTCATTATAGAGATATATTGCCTTATATTTTCTCTATCAACCTACGCCTTAATGCGTTTTCATGGCTCGTTATTGTTGGAGTGATTGACAACTCCGACAAGAATTATCCTATCGTTCTTGCAATAGAGAGAAACGTTATGAGTCTTATGACCATGGCTTATGGTAGTTAAATTTGTTATGCAAGACAACAGTGAGAGCATCCTTGATAACTTCAAATTAGACCAACATCAACTAACATAAAAATGCCCAAGATAAAGCTAGCTAGAGACTAAGCATATTTCAAAGTCATGTCATATCAACCAGGCTAAAAGGCGCCGGCTAAAGGGACTTACACTTTATAATTTTATCACGTGGTTTATATCTAATTTTATAATCTAAACAACTAAATTAATGCATGACATATCAGACTTCCATTTCTGGAGCAATCCTACAACTTGCATATCTTCAGACCTCGCCTGCAACTTGTTTGATTTAAATCCTTTTGCTCATTCAAATTCAGAGAAAAGCTTGTGGGAGAAATACAGTTAGAAGTTTCCGATTAGTACTTAAGTGACTTCCCAAAAAGAAGTTGCAAATATATATAAACAGTCGCCTTGGATGACCACGGCCTCATACTTTATTTATCAATTCTTTCATAATATTGTGAGTGGCCCTTGATCATATAAATTTAAGCCTCAGACACAAGGATTTTTCATCAACATCAAAATCAAAGCAATTCTTTCTGCAAACTTACTCTCAAAATGACACATTTAACCAGCAATTACCCACCAACCGGTACATATCCTCCTCCACCAGCACCAGCACCAACTGGTATATATTTTCCTCCTCCACCACCACCAGCACAAACTGGTACATATCCTCCTCCTCCTCCACCACTAGCACAAACTGGTACATATTCTCCTCATCCACCCCCACCAGCACCAACTGGTATATATTCTCCTCCTCCACCAACACCAGCACCAACTGGCACATATTCTCCTCCTCCACCACCACATGCACCAACGGGTATATATTCTACCCCTCCACTAACACCACCACTACCCGTTGCGAATAGCGTAACAGTTATAGGCCCCCAATTTTGCGAACATACTTATCCCGTTGATCTTGCAATTGTGAGAAAGTTATTGACCATAACTGATGGAAACTTTGTTGTGCAAGACATCAATGGCAACACTCTTTTCAAAGTGAAAGGTGCCTTGTTAACAGTTCATGATCGCCGCGTTCTACTTGACTCAGCTGGAAAGCCCATTGTCACTCTGCGGAAAAAGGTCTTCTGATTGATTTGCTGCTGCTCAAAGAACTTTCTATCTGCAAGTATTGGTTACACTTAACAACTATCTTCAACGTTTTTTTTTTTTTTTTTTTCCCTTGTTGAGTGATTAGTTTACGGATAAACGACTTTTTTCCTACCTAATAATTGATTTAAAATGAACTTTTTCACCCATGAGATTTTTAAAATACCACTTTTATTTTTTAAATTATTAATTATACTTAGAAAGATTCACACTTCAACACATTCAGCAACCAACACATCCTGTGAATAGTCTAGATGGTTAGACGAATTGGGAATATTATGTAGATCAATAATACTAGATGTACAAAAATACGAAATTTCTTGTACAAAGTGATGTGGTCGATATGAAATGACGAGGGAATATAAAAAGTCAAACTCATTATTCCACTCTTCAATCATTTCTGCCACATCAAAAATCTCTATAAATTTCTTTGTACATCTAGCATTATTCATTATGAATATGTGCACAGTCTCATTTCGTTCTCCATCTCAAAAAAAAAAAAAAAAAAAAGAGTGAAGTTTGTGAAGTACTTAACTTACAAAAACAAGTATCATATTTGCTTACAAAATAAGTTACATATATTGCTTTGGATGGCTTGGTCTCTGTGAACTTCTCCTCACCCTACAAATTGTTTATTTTTTGTCAACCGTATTATCTGACAAGCACTCGTAAATCAGAGCCTTGAACAAAATTTCTCTTAAAATAATAACTATCGTGGAATTTTTCAATAAACCCATCTCGATGACCATTTTAACTATATTTACCTCCACCTACAGTTGCTAATAAGCTAGCGTTTCCATTTTATAATTTATAGGCCCTTTTAATGCACAAAATTTTTATCCTAGAAAATGTTATGACCATGTTTTATGGGTATTTTGTTATGCAAGACCTCAAGCAATCCTTCATTAATTTTTAACCTTGTAAAATAACTCCAATTAACCAACACCAATTAACATAAATTAGGAGTGTCATAACTAGATAGTCCGATCTGTTTTGCATATTTTCTCTGATTCGATCCGAAAATTTGAATAGGCGAAACCTGATCCGAATCCGATCTGGATTTCGCCTGATCCGGTTTTGATCCGATTTGGATATTTAGATCGGATAACCCGAAAATCCAATTTTATCCGAATTTTCATGAAAATATAATTTGCAACCCTAAATTTTGCATTACTCTTACTCCCCTACCACATTTAGCATTTCATTCCTTTTGAACCCAAAGTTTTCATCATATTTCAGAAAAATCCACATACTTTACCACTTTTCATCTAGCACCCTGAATAACTTCTTAAAACTTGTATTATGGACAAAACGGATCAGATCCGATATCCTGATTTCTTTGCAGAGCCATACTATATCTGATCCACAAATCTGGATCTTCCAAAAATTAATATCCGAATCCAATCCGAATTTTTGGATATCTGGTTCTTTTGGATCAGATATCAGAATTTTTTTTTGCACAACCCTACATAAATAGCCCAAGATAAAGCAGCTACTCAGCAGATTCAGAATACTGTCATAAACAAGTATACAACAAATGACATAATCACCAGGCTAAAAGCACCGTCTAAAGGGATTTATGATTTATGAACTGAACAAGACTTGTCAACTTTTGCTTCTTACAGTGAAGTTTTAGACGTCTGATACATTGACCATATATGATCTTAAAATTTATAAGATAACATGGCTTATATCTATTTTATAATCTGAACAACTAAAGTAACCGTATGATATTTTAGACTAGATCTTTGTTTTTTTCATTTCTCGATGAACCCTACCAACTTGCATCTTAAACCTTGCGTGCAACTTGTTTAATTAAATCCTTTTGGTCATTCAAATCAAGGGAAAGGCTTACCGGGAAAAATAAAATAAGAAGTCGCCTTGCTGACTTGATCTCATATATATCCGTGGGCGACTAGCCCTTGATCATCTATATTTAAGCTTCACACAGAAGGATTTTCATCAACTTCTTTCAATGACAAATTTCCCCAGTACTAGTATTAGTCCCTAGTAGGTAATCCTATTTTCAATTATCGCCCTCATATTGCACTCACAATCATCCTATCACTCTGGCCATAACTGACG